AAAAAAAAAAAAAAAAAAAGAATCACACCTGGGAATCTTGTTAAACTAGATTCTGATTCAGTATATCTGGGGTGAAAATGCAAATTCTCAAGAGTGGGTCAAATTGGAATGAACCTGCTTGAAGCCCTGTGGAAAACTAGGGGCCACCTGTTAGAGCCTCCACTGTCACTGCCATTTCCCAAAGAATGAACATCATTAGTGGATGTAGCATCCACAGGAGACACTCACCTCTGTCCAACACTAGTGTTACGCCAATCCATAAGCACATCACTTTCCCTATCCCCAAACTCTGCCCAATCTTCATAATAGGTGCTGAAAGTGTGGTCCTGAGGTTTTAAAGCTAAATGTGGTGAAAGGATCAGAGAAAGCCTGAGCTGAAGGGGAATGGTTCCTTTTTAACAGCCCTGAACAGAGTCCTGAGTCCAATGTCCAGGAGCACGTCAGATTTTTCTTTCAGTATATCAAGGTTTCCCGTATAATGCTTCAACTTGTCTTTCCCTAGGGCTACACCCTGAAGTCCTCTTTGTTTTTACCTTTTCTGTTCAGCAGAGCCTTGATGTAGTCTGGGTCATAGACATAGAAGAACATCATAAAGGGTCCGATCCAGATGGGCACAGCACAAGGGTATTTTTCCACCGTCTCATTGTATAACTCAAACTCTTTTTCTGGGTAAAACTGTTATAAGATAAGTTGTGGAGAATTAGTGAAAGTACCACTCTAGAAGAATCTTGCTCCCCTCAGTTGAACCATGAACTAAGTTCAAGGCCTTTAGCATATCACCCAATCAAAAGGATCCACACTTTGCTGAAGACACACTTTCTTCTTCTCCACATGTCTCCAGCACCTCTGTTGTATCTTTCTGATACAAAGTAGGCACTCATGACATGTTGGCTGAGTGATTTATCTTGTCACTCCAGCCTCTTTCATCTACAGTGGAAACTTTATACTATCTACTCTGTCACCAGAGTCACCCTCCTGAAGGACAAATGGATCATGTCACTTTTCCTCACAAAATAATTCCCAATCATTATTAATAGCTGGTCGTCAAGAGTTCCTACAGTTTCTCTCAGCCAAAGGATAGACAGGCCTATGAGAGGACAACTGCACTAGGGAGATGCACTCCTTAGAACAGCCAATCATGGAAGATCAGAAGGGTGGCATTTGCACAAGGAGAAAGCTATGCAGGCAGGAATGCATAGGTAAGAAGAACACAGGGAAGGGATAACCACAGGGAGGAGGTGGGAGGAGAGCTGTTACATTGTGGGGATTGTAATCAGCATCACAAAACAAAATATATATGAACTGTTGAATGTAAAACAAATCTGCTTTATAAAATTTCAGTCAAATCACAATAAAAAGGTGTAAAAAAAAGTTGCTAGAATTTGAGCTTCTGTCTTTGCAGCTACACCTCCTGACCCTGTGTGGGGCTCTCAGTCTATCTGCCTGGCATACAAAGTTACAGAGCAGGGAGCTGTCAAGTCTTCTCTGGGATGAGAAGAAGGCTTTCGATGGGAAGGCACATTCGAAATGAATGAATGTGTGAATAGAAAACTATCATGTGAAGACTAAAACTAAAAAAACTCACTGCTGTAGAGTTGATTCTACTCATAGCGACCCCTCCTTGGGTTTCTGAGGTGGTATCTCTATGGAAGTAGATTGCCCAATCTTCCTTCTGAGGAGTGGGTGGGTTTGAACCATCAGCCTTCTGGTTAGCAGTCAACAGTAATGGAAAAGAGAATTCTGGTGAGAGAGAATGGAGCATGCAAAGGCATAGAGCAGTGGAAACATGTGAAACCTAGCAGGAGAGGGAATGGGTCGCTGAGGCTGGTGTGAAGGGGATTGGGTGGGAGTGTTGGGAATAAGGCCAGAAAAGGTGGGCCAGAACTGCCTGTAAAAGACCTTATAGAGTAAAGTAAAGAGATTAAAGATTAAAACTTCATTCCTTTGGCAAATCAGGACATATGAAAATTTAAGCAGAGAACTGATATATCAGCTGTGTGACTATGGCACAGTCCATATATTCTATTCACTGGGCCTCAGCAATGGATCCTGTGTTTTGAGGAGTGTTGGGAGAATTGGTCATGAGGCCAAGTAGGGATGATGTGGACTTTGGGGCAACACAGATCCAAGTTCAAATTCTAGCCTGACACTCATGACCTAGATCTTCAGGGCCTCAGTTTCTTCACGTGTATAACTAGAGATAATTCTATGTCACAAAGCTGCTGTGAAAATTAAGTTAAATTAAAAACATAACATGCCTGGCACAAAGTAAATGTTTAAAAACCGTTTCCTCCCTCCTTCCTCTCTCAAGGAGCTCTGGTGGCTCTGTGTTGAAAACATTGAGCTGCTAATCAAAAGTTTCAAATCTACTAGCCACGCTGTGGGAGAAAGTTGAGGGAGTCTGCTTCTGTGAAGATTTACAATCTTAGAAACCCTAGGGGTTGCTCTACTCTGTCAGATAGGGTTGCTATGAGTCAGAATCAACTTGATGGCAGTGGATTTGGGATTTTTTTTTTTCCTCTCTCAGAATTCCCCTATATGGGCTTTCAAAACTTGAAAACTCAGAAGACTGGGGTTCAAGTTTCACCCTGTCATATATGAGGTACATAACATGAGAATTTGCATCTCTATCTTAGATTTCAGTTTTCTCATCTGTAGCATGGGAATAATGGTAATTGACGGCACATAACAACAACAACAGCAACAACATATTATAGGATATTTGTGAAAATCAAAATGAGATCATCTATGTGACAGGAGCTCTGGTAGCATAGTGCCTAAGGCACTTGACTGCTAACCAGAAGGCTGGCGGTTCAAACCTATCAGCCACTCCTCGGAAGGAAGGTTGGGCAACCTACTTCTGTAGTGATACTGCCTCAGAAACCCAAGAAGGGGTTGTTATGAGTTGGGTCCGACTCGACGGCACATAACCACCACTACAACAACATATGGCAGGATATTGGATATTACATAAAGTCTCACAAATCTGTTGTTTTAATACTTCCTCTCTCTGTGTCCTTTAATCTCTCAGCTCATTTTTTCTTCTTACCTTTTTGTGCCCATAGAACCAATGGCCAGGGGGCGCAGGGAACAAATTCAGGTCCCTGAGCAACTTCCTTCTCCTCTGGTATAGCTTGACAGCCTGCAGCACAATCAGGGATATGCAGAGAAGAAATAGTAGGCAGAATGGCTGATTCAAGAGATGCTCAAGCCAGCAGGATTCCATCCTTCTCAGAGGTGCTGGACTCTGGAGAGCCTGGGAGAACTGCAGTCTCCTCCTATGCTAGGCCCCTCATAAATGCATGGGAATGCCCCCGAGCAACTATGGGCTCTTCAGAATGCTGTGTCCAAGGAGGGGGAAGGAATAGAAGAGGAGTGGCCTTAGCCTGTAGGGGAGAAACAGCTGAGATGTTGGCCAGCAATTTCTAGAAGAACCAGCTTTACAGACAGGGGCTGTATGCATGACACATACATACAGAGACTTTTTACATTGACATGTCCTTTCAGAGTCTGAGTTCTCATCTATTTACACTTCGTGGCATCTTCATCTGTTCCTTCTTTTTTGGTTTGGAGCTGGAACCAGGAATTGGCATTTTAAATCATTATTTTAAAAAAGTTTATTTTATTTTTGTTGTTGATAATATACACAACAGAACATAACCAATTCACAATTTCTACACGTGCAATTCAATGACACTATTTACATTCTGCAAGTTGTGGAACCACATTCAGCCTCCTTTTCCAAAGTGTTCCTCCCTCATCAGCATAAACTCACTGCTCTCTAAATTCCCTATCCAAGTTGCTGTTGTCAGTTTGATCCCATGCAGATAGTTTTTTGAAGAGCACACAGTTCAGGGCAGACATATTTTACTACTTAAGCTACATTTTCATCCATTCTTGCAAAAAAATCTTTTTTGAGCAACCACTGTGGGCTAGGTAATAGGTATATAGAGAAGGGAATCTTAAGTAAAAGTTTAGGAAAAATATAAGGCTAGAAAAATGCCTTCTCTTTGTCTGGGGAAATTCAATGAAATCAAACCAAAATCTACTCAGGAATTTGCGTGAAAGAGAAAGCACAGTCTCCAAAGCAGAGGAATGCTGAGCCCCTGTTTGCGAACTCAGAAACCTCAGGTCTATTATTTTATGTTCATGATGCGACTGTGTCTTCTAGTGCCCTGGTGGGGCTTTTGTAGTGAGAAGACCTTTTATACCACGAACCTTTAACCAGCTTCTAGCATGTATCCAACTTATGTTTTCCAGGAGTATAACTGATTGTCTCAAACCAACCTGAAAAATGTCTGTTTCGTTTTTAAAAATGAAATTTCATTATTTTGGGGGATTATGTAAATATTACTTGCACAGAAAAAACAGTCTGTAAAAATATAGACTAAATATTTTAAAAATAGGAATCATTTAAAACTCAAGTTCTCAGAGATAACAGCCAAAGATAAATTGGTGACTTTTTCTCATTTAACAGCACAACTTGAAAATTTCTCCAAGTCAATGTAATAACTTTTACTCATCCCTGTAGTGATCATATAACAGTCTATGACATGGAGGAAAAATATAATTAAATGTAAGTGTTGGCTTTGATTTTCTCCTTTAAGGAGAAATCTTCCTTACCTTATCAGCATATGCATAATCTTGAGAGTGAGTGTCTTGTTAACTTTTGCACCCTAGGCATCTTGCTAGCCCTGACTTACAGATTTTACCATTCAAAACAAAGGGAAGATGGCTTCTACTTAGCATTGTGACAAAAATGTCTGAGATTCAGGAAGATTCCTGATGTTAAGTAGAAAATGTGTGTAATATTTTGATAAAGGATACTTTTCAATCCTTTTCTGTTGCTCTTGTTCAAGTGAGATAGCTTTTTGTGTATGTGTATGTGTGTGCTTTTAGGAACAGTTTCTTATGTAGGAGACTGGGAATTAGCTAAGATGGTGTTCAGGCTTCATGGTTGACAGACTTTCTCTTCTCATGTAACTGGGAAGTTTTGAAAAATAGAGCCTCATAGAAATTTTTAAATCTGCCTGCTCTCTTCTCCCTACTCACTATTATTGACACTTCTCATCTCTTAACCCCTGTTCATTTTGGATTCTATTGCTCAGTATTTCTTTGCAGTGTGGGACTGTCTTGGAAAGGAAAGACCAATTAGTATTTGGGATTCTTAGGGCTAGAGGCACCTTAGAACTACCCTACAGTCCCACAGTTCATTCCAATCACATTCAGAGTTTGTTGGGAAACTCCCTCCTAGCTTCACTCTTGCTCTCAGATTAACCTTCAACTTTGACTTTAGTGGTGTTCTCTATTCTCTATTTTAGGGGTTCAGTATGTGATATCAGTTTCTGGATTATCAGGTCATCAGAGCTATCAGAAATCCTTTTGTTGGACATTGTTGCTCTTTTTGGTTTATGTTGTCATATATCCTACTTTTGTTGAGAATGTCTGTAGTTTTCATCTTCCTTTTGCCCCCTTTATCTATTCTAGTTGCTTTATCAGTTTTTGTGAAGGGATTCATGAGATTTTAAAAACTATATTTTAAATATATCATCCCACTGTCTTCTAGCCTCCATGTTTCTAATAAGAAATTACCCATTAATCTTATTGAGAATCCTTTGTATGTAATACATTTCTTCTTTATTGCTGCTATCAAGATTTTCTCTTTGCCCTTTGATCATTTGATTATAATGTATCTCTGTGTGCATCTCCTTTAGTTTGTCTTGTTTGGAATTTGTTGATCTTTGTGAATGTGTAAATTAATTTTTTTCATCAAATGTGAAAAGTTTTTGGCTTTTGTTTCTTGAAATATTCTTCCATCCTTTGTTCTCCTTCTTCTTCTTCTGGTAATCCCATAATGTGTGTGTTTTGGTATACTTGGTGTTGTTCCGTAGCTTCCTTAGTCTTTGTATAGTTTTATTATTTATTTTTAATTGATTCCTCACATGGAATAATTTCAATTGACCTTTTTTCAACTTTGCTCATTTTTTCTTTTATTAGTTTAGATCTGCTGTTGAGTTCATCTAGTGATTTTTATTTCAGCTGTTGCCTTTTTTTTACCCCCAGAACTTCTATTTGACTCATTTTAAAATAATTTATATCCTTTTAATCATGCAGAGTCACCTACAGGGATCTAAATGAGGAGCGGGAACCCAGGCCATAACCCACAAGCAGCAAGGTGAGAGAGCAGGGAAAAGACAGAAAAGGCCAAGGGGACCAGGTCAGAGCGAGGAGTCAGCTGCAGGGATCCAGGTAAGGGTGGTTGGAGAGGTTTCCAACAGCTAAGGGAAACAAATTTGTCTGTCGATTTGTCCTACTGTGGTGATGTGTTGCTGTGAGTCTTGAGGCTGTGCCACTGGTATTTCAAACCCAGTGGGGTGCACATGGTGCACAGGTATCAGCAGGGCTGCAGCCTGAGACAGACTAGGAAGAAGGAAGAGGCCATCCAGGCCATCCACTTCTCAAAGATTTGGCCAAGGAAAACCTTATGAATAGCAGAGAAACACTGTCTGATACATTACTATGCAACTTTATGAATAGCCCAGAAACATTGTCCAATACAGAGGAGGAAGATGAGTCATTTAGGTTAGAAAGCTCTCAAAATAGGACTGGGCAATTGCTGCATTATCAGCTTAAACCAGCCTTACTCATATGGATAAGGTAAAGCTTTTGAGACCTCCATTTGCTGACATGACACCACTCAAAATGAAGAGAAACAGTGGCAAACGTCCATTAATAATTGGAACATGAAATGTATGAAGTACGAATCTAGGAAAACTAGAAGTTGTCAAGAATAAATGGAACACATAAAGATTGATATCCTAGGGATTAGTGAGCTGAAATGGATTGGTTTTGGCCATTTTGAATAGACAACCAACCATATGGTCTACTATGCTGGGAATGACAGTTTAAAGAGGGATGGTGTGGCATTCATCATCACAAAGGATGTTTCAAGATCTGTCCTGAAGTACAATGCTGTCAGTGATAGGATAATATCCATATGCCTACAAGGAAGA